GATGCTAATTGAAACATGCCCTAAAACTAACCATCGTAAGCTGGTAAATAAAAGGGAGAAAGAAATAGGGGTTGGAAAACATGCATCACACACACGCACATTTATTTACAACAGTTGTGTCCTCTCGACGGAGGGTCCGAATGAATAATACAAAACCAACTAGCTAATCTAAGCTAATCTAATTAAACTAGTTATTACACAACAGAATGAATAACAAGCTACAGCTAATTATTACACAACTCTAACTAATTAACAAATTAACTAAGTTAGCAATTAAATAAACATATAAACTATATGATGTAGGCTGCCTTAGCTCTGCTTTGAATGACAAAGGATGCATGCATGCTTGAATTACCTTGTTCGGAAATCCCTCGTGACGCCCCGACTTGCCTCTGTTTGCAATTGACCTCAGAACACTGCACAAAGCTCCAGAAGGCTGAAACTCCACCCTGGGAATTTGTGGGAAGGCTGCCGACCAGCTATTGGCCTTGGAGACCACCTATCGACCACTTTTGTGGTGAAAAACCAGAAAAAGTGGTCGGCCAGCCACTAAATCTGGTCGGCCGACCAGTTTCTGCCCCTGGTTTCTGATTTTCTGTAACAGAAGGCAAGAGAGAGAGATGGCAAAGTATTTGCAACACATGTGTGCACGACCACTCTCCCCATCATTACATAAGCTCAAGGAGTGTAGTCCTTGACCCTCGGGCCACCAATCATGCATCTCGATGCATGATGGCCGAGGAGTCGAATTGCACGACTCAATGTGAAATGAATGCACATACAAGCACCTAAGGCCAACAACTCCGTCATGGGTAGTCAAGAGTGTCGGTGACCGGGAATCGAGGCACATTTCATCATTTCAAGCATGAAACGCCCCTCGTTCCCCATGTTTGGACTAACCCCTATTCCAAACACAGTGCAACAAACAAGACATGCACCAATGCTACTCTAGTATGCAAGCTTAATGCAATGCAACTAAGTCATGCAAACATGCAAGGGATAACATGCAAACATGCAACTAGCACACACAATGCTATGAACTAACAATGGCATACTTAATGCACATGATACATAGCATACACAATGCTCGTAGAAACTAACATACACAATGAGATGAACAAGGCATGCACAATGCAATGATCAATCATGCGACAACATGGCATACTCAATGCTATGAACTATAATGGTATACTCAATGCAAAATGGACTTAAACCAAAATGGATGGGCCTCAGCCACACTCAAATCAGTGGCCAAAGATGATGAAAATAAGGCCCCAAAATAAAGCATGCATGCACAATGCATTGGCCAATACAAGAGGCCCAAGAGCACAACCCTCAAGAGTGCTCAAAGAGTGACAAATGTACAAGTGTAAAGACACTAAGTGCACTGAAATTAAGTAAGAAGTGATGCCAAATCATTCGAACAAAACAAGTAGAGCATGCAAGGGTCCTAAGGCATGAGAGCTATCAAAGAGGACTACACATGAGGCATGCAATGCATGGCAAATATGCATGAACTAAGCATGGACAGAGTTGAAATAGGTCTTAACAAAGACCAAAATGTGCTAAGATGAGGGCCCAAAGTCCTAGGCATGCGAGCATACACACTAAGGCATGAACTAGGCAACAATGCATAACCATCAAAGGCATTCAAAGCATGAATGAAGTGAGAACATGGCAAGTCTATATGTTCTGAAATGTGATATTAACTGATGCCAAATCAAGTACACAACACAAATAAAGCATGCAATGGTGCTCAAAGCTTGAGGCAAGCAAGAGCATTTACACTACAAGTATACAAAACATGAAGCATGTGATTAAGGCAACCAAAAACAGTCCTAGACATGTTAATAAGAGACTAAAACATGCATGGATGGAAGCCAAAATGTGCTAGCATGAGGGGCATGAGGCATAATGCATACAAGGCAAATAAGGTGGATTACACTACACCTATTAGGACCAAGCATGAGATGACTCAACCAACAAAAATTTGAGTTATATAATGGCAAAATAACCCCAAATAAGCACTGAAATGATGGCTCACAAGCAAAGGCATGAATGCATACACAATGGCTCATGTTAAGGCATAAAGGGGGAACCCTCCAACGCATTGATTGAGTGACAAATGCAAATGCACGGTCATGAAACATGGACTGAATTAGCATAACTAATGATGCCAAATCATTGAAATGAGCCAGGTAATGCATGCTAGTGGACCCGATGCACAAGGCAAACAAGCTAGGTTGAACCAAAGCTATACAAAGCAAGTCATGGATGACCAAGACAACCAAAATCAGACCTTAAACATGGAAAAACATGAACAAAGTCTTCATGAAGTCAAGCCAAAAGCACGCTAAAAAGACATGTGCCAACATGATGCATGTTAAGCTATTTCATTGGATTGCATGGCAAGTGTATGAAGCATGCAAAGGCCAACCGAACCAAACCAAAACAGAGTCATGACATGGTAAAACATCACCAAAAACATGCTGAAATGGGAAGAAAACAAGTTAGAATGACATGTCAAGGCATGAAGCATATAAAGCTAGTTTAAGGGATTTACACTACAAGTGTATTAGGCATGCAAAAGCCAACCAAACCAACCCAAAACAGATCTAAGGCATGTTAAAACATCACTAAAAACCTACTGAGATGTCTCGAAATCAAGCTAAAAACACATGCTCAAACATGAGGCATACAAGACTAGATTGTGTGATTTACACTACAAGTGTATTAACCATGCAAGGGGTGACCAAACTAAGCAAAAGAAGTGGTGTGCCTCAGCAAAATAATCACAAATACAAGCTAAGACATGGCCAACACACACTTACCAAAGGTGCTCAAACATGAGGCAAATGAAGCATGTAAAGAGGACACAAAGGAGAGAGGGTGACCCTCTCCTTCTTAGGACCTTAAAACACCATTCCCACCACTGAAATCCCTCTAGATTTCAGTGGTGAGAAGGCCAATACAAGGTAGTCCCGAAGCTCACAAAGATGGCACAAAAATGAGGCCAAACAAGGCCTAAGAGGGGGTAAACAATCCCCAAAACCAAAGTGATCTTAAACAAAGATCAATAGCATGCCAAAACACAACTTTTATCAGTTATAAGTTAAGCTCAAAACAACATGCAAGATAGGCTAAAAGCTTAATCAAGAAAGGGGGATTTAAGGTTCAAAAACTCACCATTGATGAACTTCTTCAAAGCTGCAACTCCAATAGGTTTTTTGCGCTTAAACCAAACCAAAAACTCCAGAAACAACCTCAAGATGCCTCAGCAAGAAAATGGTGGTGCTTGGCTAGGAGGTTGTGTGCACAAGTGAAGAGACAAAGCACTTCAAGGCACAAAATATGGAGAGAGAGAGAGAGAGAGGAATATAGAGAGGGGGATATGTGTATGGCTCTCAGCCAAAATCAGAACCTGGAGAAGGGGGAGAGGCCTCCTCTCTTATAGAAAAACAAAAGTTAAAGCTTCTTGGAGAAGCTTAGAGCTTGTGTAAATCCCTCCATACACGTGTATGGAGGATACAGTCTGTGCCCTCCAGCTGGCACAGCTGGCATCCACAGACTCTGCAAAATCTACAGGAAGGCCGCCGACTAGAAAAAGTGGTCGGCCCGCTACTTTTTTTGGTCGGCCGACCACCCTTTTTGGTTTTCCAAAAAAAAAGTGGTCGGCCAGGGTAATTGGTGGTCTCCACACTGAAAGCAAGCCAATGGTGGGGTGGGAAACCAGAAAATGTGGCCCAAAAACCAAGAAAACTAGTTTCCCGACCAGAAAATCGGCTGGCGGGGAGAGAAGTGAACTCCAAGGATAAAAGCTGGTTTCCCACCCTTGTACCACTTCTCAAACATGGAAAGCAAGGTTCATGCCAAAAATGAACCAACACGGATGCAAAACGAGAGTTCGGGAGGCAAAGTGCGCGGCTGGGGGCCTCGAAAACTGGCTGTTGAGCACAAAAAGTGGCGTACGACCACAAAAGTGGTCTCCCGGACCACAATGTCCCTCTAGAGAGAGGAAACAAGGCATGTTCCAAAAACCGTGCCAAACGGAGAATGTTAAGCGGTCCTGAGCCGAGGTGCGCGGCCGACGGCTCCGAAAATCAGAAACTAGTCTCCAAACGGGAACAGTGGCCTACGACCATGAAAAGTAGTCTACGACCACTGAGAGATGGTCTACAAGACCTCTCCCTCCCTTCGGGAAAAGAAAACAAAACTTGGTCCGTGGACCGAGTCAAAGTACAAAGGGTTCCGAGGTCCGGAGGTGAGGCTCTCGACCAAGAACTCCGAAACCTCGAAACGAGCACAACATGCGCGATCACCGAGCGCTCAATCGATGACGTCTGAGTCTTAAGGTCGGTCAAAAATGGGGTGTCTACAAATGGTTACACCGTTTCAAAAAAAAGCAAGGCAGGATCAGCCCATTAAAAAATCAAGCTGTTTGACATGCAAAAATGACAGAAGTTAGAAGGCAAGGATATGAGGTCTAGAGTACAAAAAACAAAAATGGTCTAGAGTACTCATGAGAAACATTCTGACTGTGTTTGGTACAGCTTTTGAATTATGATTCTATCTTTTAGTTTGAGTGCGGCGTTTGTTTACAGTTTTCAAAAATCATTTCCATACCTGCGTTTGAAAATTCGTGTACCCGGATGTCCCCCGGACGTCCGGCCAGTTGACCGGAACAGTGTTTGTGATATATATATATATATATTTTGCACTTGTTATTTTTATATTTTAAATAAAAAAAATATTTTCAATTTTTTTTTTAAAATTTTTTATGAGTTTTGAATAGAATTTTGGGTTGTGTGTTTGGTTATGAGTTGTAAGTTTTTGTATAAAAAATTCTGTCACATCACTCAATTCAAAATTCTTTTCAAAACTCTTTTAAAACTTATTCACCAAACAAATTTTCTACATTCAAATCATAATTCCAAAACTCACAAACTTAAAATACAACTCATATTCTCAAATCATATTTAGAAAACTCTACCAAACGCAACCTCTCTGTTTCATCATCAAGCTTCCTTGTGTTTAGAGTAGTACTGCTTGAGGCAGCTTTGTTCGATGCAGCATTAGCTACAAAATACAATAAACAACAGTATGAATGTTCCCAACTCAGAAGAGCAAACTAATGTCAAATGTAAAAATAATTTTACCACATTCACAAACAATGACAAATAGAAATTTAGAAGAGACAACAAATATAAGCTGATTCTCCTTTCAAATGGACAGCAATCAAGCCAAAATATGATCTTCAAAACCAAGTGATTAAAATTATGTTCAAGCTTAGAAAATAAGTGTGACAGTTAAACCCCAAAAAAATATATAACATAAATTTTGCTAGTATAAACCCCAATAAAAATGTAAAAAGAGAAAAAAAAATTCTAAAAGAAATCACCCACCATCCGAAAGAAAATCAACCAACACACATCAATCCAAATGCCTCCAATCAAGACAGTAACAGAGCGACAACAACAATTTTTGATAATTTAACAAGGCCCAATAGTGATTTCATCCCAAAATGTACATATTCAGTAGCATGCAATTAATACTTTGGTGGATGGATTAAAAAAAATCTCACAACACCTAACTGACATAGCCAGCTCGTTCCCTAATATGCACAAGGATGTATAGTCTACACTATATATAATTTTTTTTTCAATAATTAAAGTCTACGCTATATATAATATAGAAAAATGATTTGCAAATAGAATTTTTGAACAAAAAACACCACCAGAATGATGTGTCAATGGCAACATTGAAATAATAAGCCACTTTTATGAGGTTTTTGGTTTGAAATGAATGAATATTAATGTGACACATCATTTTGTATAAATTTTATGTATTTGTATATTAATAAAAAGTGATGAATTCAAAGTTGTTTAGTAAGAAAATGAATAACAAACCCAAATATGCTAAAAATTTTCTTATAACAAAATTTAAATTTGAAAAAACATATATATAACAAGGATTAACAAAAAAAACAAGAACCAAATTAAGTCAAAAAAATTTCACAAAATTAGGCAAACAAACCTGACATTTTCAATCCCAACTGGATTAAAACAGAATGATTTTTTTTTTGCGTGAAATTCATAAAAAGCACTAAAAGGTTCTCCTCTATTTGGTCTCGATAAACATAAACTAGTTTTGTAACGCCTTCAAAATAATACATAAAACCCCACATTCTTAACATGCATTGATATAAGTGAAATAAACACTTTTCCATTCATCAGAGTAGGTCTTACAAATGTATTACATGTTGACAACAAAAATAAATGCCCAACGGCTTATAACTTTCCAAGCCAACACTTGGTTACACAAAAGAGAGTACTAACTCATATCATATTAAGCCCTTGGCCTGAATTTACATGTAATATAACAAGAGATAACAAAACAACAAAAATAGTCTTCAACTCCCAAAACCTTCCAAGCTATGTCCTTGGAGGTGACATATCACCTGGACCTGAAAATGATGTCCCATATAGGGTGAGCCACAACCCAGTAGAGATATACTAAACCAAATATAAGCAATGACTAAAATAATAGCATTAGATAGATGGTTAACACTTATAAACCAATTATATCACAATACAGTTCCATGACACTTGTGTCCATGTTACATTCCATTTTCCTTTACTTATCCAAATCATTTCATATACATGGCTCAGAACCTGGTCAAACAATTCAATGAGACTATAACTCATATACTAACACTTCCATACTTCACAATAGATACACCTATTTGCTGTATCAAAACTTCAATCTAATACACATATTTGTTGTATTAATGGAGTCCATCCCCTATCTCCTCCCAAACAGGTTTGAGAGTCCATTCTCTATCTTCCCTCAAACTATGGAGTACATCCCCTATCTCCTCCCACACAATACACATATTCCAAGTCTATACACAATTATCATATAGAGGGATCACTCAATACACAAATTTAATGTATTATTCCAACCGTCATATTCAATGACATATTCAATTTGATTAGTTTCAGTTTTTCCTAATCAACATACAGTGTCTACAACAATCAAGACTATCCTCCACCGATAGCCCAAGGCATTTATTTCTAAACTGTAAGTAAATGCATTAAACAGATATAATATCAACTTACTCCATAGGTGAGCGATTAATTTATTCAACTACACCATTCAATCCCATAATTTCCCAATTTCATTATTCTCAACTCAATTCCATATTTCCACAAATTAATTTAGTTCATAATTAGGGCATTCTTCCCCCTTTATCACATTTCAACCCAAAGGCTCAAATTCAACAATACAACAACATTGATTTCATTTTTGTTGGTCTCAAACACCCATAGGATTTAACATTTTGAAAACCCCCTTTTTTTTTATAAATTACAACTCAAACCCTAACCTTTCCAAAAATTACCCAACAACCCCAACATATCAAAATGCCCAAAATTTATGACAAAACTCATAAGATGGAGTAGGGTATCCCTACCTCGAAATTAGAAGCCCAAAAGAGAAGATGGTGAACACCCGAAATGCTCCAAATCCACAACTTTTCAGATTCAAACAATCCCAAGCCACCCTCTATCTTTCTTACAAAGGACTTAGGGTAGGAACACACTAAAACTAGATGAATCCCTAGAGAGAAGGTGTGTAGAGAGAGAGAGAGCTCGGATCTAGGGTTTGCAAAACAAAAGAGATGAAAAAGTGAAGTGTTTACCCGCTGCTGTCTACTGATATAACACAGGCTCGCTTGAGCGAAGGATTGGTCGCTCGAGCAACCAGACACAAAGAACTCTCGTTTGAGCATAGAAAGCCTCTCTCGAGCCAAAAATGCGAAGTTTCAGGTTTGTAACCCAGAAGCACGCTTGAGCGACAGAATGCTCGCTCGAGCGACGAAACTCAAAACATACACCTCGCTCACTCGAGTGAAGAAAATCTCGCTCGAGCGAAGAATTGCAACCGTCAGGTCCAGAACCAGACGCAGACGCAAGCTTGAGCGAAGGACTTCTCGCTCGAGCCACCAGATACAAAACTCAACTCTCGCTCGAGCGAAGGAACCCTGGCTCGAGCGAAGGATCTAAAACACAGAGCTCGCTCGAGCGACAAAGAGCTTGCTCGAGCGAAGGACCAAAATTCTGGGCAGCAACCATTTGCTCCCAATCACACCTAACCTGTAACAAACCTGCCCAACACATCCTATAACTCAAAAATAAGGAATTAAAGGATGACATCAAGATATATACAACAACAAGCTCCACAGAACCTAAGTTCGGATATAACAACCAAATGGGGAAAGACCGGGATCGCTCTATAAGTTTGGCTACACTTTTCTCAGGAAAAATGGATAAGAAGACATCTCCAACCCTTCCCCAAATCTTAACTCAAACGTAAATTTAAGTATGTAAAACCACTAAATTCCCTCCACTCCTTTACTCAAACCTATACCAAATTAAATTTTCCTTAAATTTTTACTCAAATCAAATGCCCATTTTATTGACTCAAATTTTTATCCAATCAAAATTTCACATAGGTGCTTCTATCCAAACTTTTCATATTCTCCATTACTCCAACTTTTGAGCATCTCCAACCCCCCTTCACAAAATTTTTCATCGAATTTGAATCCAAATTTGAGTAAAAAACTTGATTTGATATGAACTACTCCAATCCTTTCATCAAATGTTAATCAAATAAAGGGAAAGTCATTTTTTCATCAAATTGAGAACCTATCAAATTTGATGAAAAGAAGAAAATATTTTCATGAAATGATTGGAGTAGTTTATATTTGTAACGCCCCAAAAAATAATACGATTAATCCAACTCACAAGACAAATGAACATGATAGAATTGGTGTACTTTCATATATCAAAATTCGTATTACAAAAGGGTATTACATGCATTATACGTTCACAAATGTTCCTTCTGAATTTACGACATGTAACACTAGTTAATAACAACAAAGTAAACACCCTACGGGCTTACATCTTTTCAAGACATTACTTGGTTACAACAAAAGAGAGAGTAGTAAACTCTATACATATTAAGCCTTCGGCTTGAATAAACATGTAAACATTTATACGACAAAATAAAGTCTCCAGCCCCTAAGTCCATCCAAGCTACGTCCTTGGAGGAAGCATGTCACCGGTACCTAAAAATGGTTTCCCAAGTAGGGTGAGCCAAAGCCCAGTAGAAACAGTCTATCACAATATCTGAGATTTAACTAAGATATAAGTGTCAGGTATATATTCAATACTTATAACCAAAACACATCTTCTTCACATAATCATACAATATCGACATTCACATCTCAATCCATTCCCATCTATTCATTTCAAGCTAATTCATTTCATTTCAATTTATAGGCCAAATTTATAATTCTTCGAATAACCCGACTGAGACAACAACTCAGTGGTTCTCAAACAACATATCTATCATACACACACTTCAATCTTGCCATTTTACGAAAATTTCATCCGTGGGATTGGCACCCATGTATGCATAAGATTTTGGGACTTTCACTCAGGACACTCCGGCCAACTTAATTTCAATAGAGTCCATCCCCTATCTCCTCCCAAAACATGAAGTACATCCCCTTTCTTCTCCCAAACGTTATACATATACAATGTATTTACAAGTATCGTCATATTCAATGACATTGTTAAATGATTAGTTTCAATTCACCTAATCTTTATGCAATTTCTACAATAATCATAGCCATCCTCCACCAATAGCCCAACACAAATATTTCTAAACAGGTATACACAACCTATATAATAGATAATTCATCAAATTTCCATAGGTGAGTGATTTAACAAATCCAACTACACCATTCATTCATACATCCTCCTAATTTCACATTTCTCATATCAATTTTCATTATTTATACAAAATAATTATTTAACACATATTAGGGCAAATCTCCCCCTTTTTCAAATATCAATCCAAAAGTTAAAATCCACCATTCTAACCCAAGATAACCTCATATTCAAAACCCCATATTCATTTACAAAGCACGAGATAGAAATCCCCCTTTTTAATTTGAATCTAAACCCTAGATTTTTCCTCAAACTTCCCAAAACTCACCATTTATACATAATAACAAATAACTACATTAAAGATCATAACAAAGTGTAGATTATCCCTACCTCAAGTGTAGAAGCTCAAAGAAGAAGTGGAGAAACCTCAACGACGCCCAAACTTGACTCTATTCGGATCAAATAGAAGCCCATGGGATGCTCTATCTTTTTAACCAAGGGAGTGGGGTGGAGAAATCACTAGATCAAGGTCAAAATGTAGAGAGAGAGTGTGTGTATTTTAGAGAGAGAGTGTGGATCTAGGTTTTAGGAAAGTTTTAGAGAGAGAAAGAGTCGAAAAAGTGATATAAAATGTCACTTTCACGATTTGATATACGCACAGTCCGCTCGAGCGGAGAGTTTGACGCTCGAGCGTTAGACACAAAAGTTTGTTCTGCTCGAGCACAAGAAGATACCCGCTCGAGCGTAGAATACACATATTCAGTATTTATGCAGACAACGGACAACCCGCACGAGCGCAAGAAGGACAGCTCGAGCAAATACCAGCTCGAGCGTAGGAGACGTTGCTCGAGTGTAGAAAACACTCCTCCAACATTTTGTAGACGTGCAAAGTACTGAGTGCTTGCAAACCCCGCTCGAGCGCAAGACGTCCCGCTCGAGCAGAAGACCAAAATTCTGAGCAACAACATTCTAGACTAACAAGCAAGCAACCTATTCCAAATATGCCCAACACATTCTAAAACTCAGACTCAAAGAGTGAAAGGGAAAAAGAGATATAAATAACAACATCAAACCACGAGGCTCGAGTCTGGAACACAACAAAGGTCGGGTCAAAACCGGAATTGCTATAATATTAAATCAAGCTTTTTACTTAAATTTGGAATCAAATTAGATGAAAATTTTGGTGAAGGGTTGGAGATGCTCAATTTGATGAAAAAAATGACTAAGGCCAAGGATTGGAGATGCTCACTCAAAACTTGACACTTAACAACTTTACTCAAATTTGAGTTTATATTAAGTGAAGCTTTGAGTAAAAGTATACGTAAGGGCATCTCCAACCCTTACCCAAATCTTAACTCAAACTTAAATTTGACTAAAAAAGCACTAAAATCCCCTCACCCCTTCACTACCACCTATACCAAAACCAAATTGAGTTTTACTCAAATTTTGACTCAAATCAAGGGTGACCCATTTCATTTACTAAACTTCCCATAGGTACTTGTATCCAAAATTTTCAAATTCCCCTTAACTCCCAAATCCTAGCATCCACTCAAAACATAACCCTTAGCAATTTCACTCAAATTTGAGTTTATCATTGGAGTGTTTCATATCACATGAATCTTTTTACTCAAACGTGTATTGAATTTGAGTATTAAAGTATAAAGTAAGGGTTGGAGATGACCTAAGGCTTGGAAAAAAAAAATCCTTACTAGGTCAATCACCCCTAAATTTTATGAATTTCTGGAAAAATAATCTTAGGAGACAAACAGAGAGGAAAGGAAGATATTTTTATAAAAACCTTTTCTGATGGTTTTGATCTCGGCATCGGCGCGACGGGCGGCGTTGACGGTCTTCTCGTCCTTATGGGCGGCGGCGGTGGGGGCCTTCTTGCGGATCACCACTAGTTTCCAGTCTCGAGAGATGTGTCCAAGTTCTGTCATGTTATTAGGGTTATTGGATTCTCTTCTCTACTACTATTATTTCTATTCTACTGTTCTGTTCTTTGAGCTCTCTGAATTTAGGGTTAGGGTTAGGGTTACGGTTAGGGTTAGGGTTTTTCCAGTTAGAGAAGATAGATATAGAATAGATTGATGCTGTTGACTGACCGCTACTTTATAAACACATAAATTCATGGGTGATTATTCTGTATTCCCGAAGTATGGACACATGGTGCTCCATAAAGTTTTGATTGTGAGAGAAGGGTAGGGGCCCACGATTTATGTTGGGGATGGAGAACAACATGGGGGTTAAGTAATTGGTGATTGGCTTGAAATATGGCCACGTGATATTCCGAGATTATTAGAGAATTTTCCAAAATTCATAAGAATATCTCTAATTATTTATTTATTAAATTTGTTCACTGATTTTGATAAAAAAATTTATTAAATATTTACAATTTTCTAACTTATTCTAAAAATCTTATTTCCCTGTTTATGCGAAACAAATTGGAATCCATTCCTTATCTTTTAATAATTTTATAAAATTTAAGTGAAAATAAAGATAATTGATAATTTGAGTTATTCTTTATTTGATGAAATCTTTAGTATAATTTTTATATGATAAATAGACTGAATCTCATTCTCACTAAGGATTGAATATGCCAAAATATTTGTTTTTAAATAAATTTATAATTTAAATATTTATTGTTTTATTTTTAAAAATAAATATAATGAAACTATGAATTATCTATGCATTAAAACTTAAAACATAAATTGATTAAATCATCAAAATGAGACTCATAATAAATTCACGGAGCCAAACTGCATCATCGAGTCTACTAAGAGAAATGGAGACAAGCCACTTTCCTTCTTTTATTTTTTTATTTTTTTTGTAGACATGATCAAATTGAAAAATTAAATTTTGAATGTCTTGCTATGCAGCATTGTGTAAAACATAAAATGATAAAATTATTAAACAAATACATTAGTGACATTAAATTTTTCACAATATGTGACGCAATCATAGAAATGATTTTTTTTTAAATAATTCAATATTCGACCCATTAAACCGCGACTAATTCAAGAATCAATTATTAAACTGATTTGATGAGTGTCATTCTTCATATTTTATACTCACATTAGGGTGTCTACAATATTTTTCTCCTATGATCTTAAGAGAAACGTGCATGTAGTTTAATGGTAGAATATTTGTATTCTAAGGAGAGGTTGCATATTTGACCCTTGTTCAAACCATGCCATTCCTATTTTCTTTCCCCTCTCCCCTTAGGCCAAACACGCATACCTGTTTTTTGATGTACTAAGAAAATGAAAAAAATATTATACTAAATGATGATAAATAATAATATTGAACACTTTAATAAACTTCCTAAGTTAAGCATGCCATTTGCACTTAAATTTTTTCGTATAAATTATTTAGAACACCTTAATCAGAATAATCTAACAAGATTTTGAAGTGACATGTGAGGCTTGAAAAATATGTAATGCAAAAATGATCACAAGTAGTTCAATGAAAAGCTAGAAAAAAATCCACACGAAGTAGCTTAGTGGCTAGACCATGTACTATATATTAGGAGAGCAGGAGATCATAGATTTAACTTCCCCCTCCCCTTCCAATATATCAAAAACAAAACCAAAAACAATGGGGAAAAAAAAAATGAAGACAATTTTATTTTATTTTTGAGAAATAATTATGTTTTTATGTTTTCACTTGTAAAAATTTAAAAGAAAAGCTGTATACACTATGCAGGCATACAACTTAACAACTAATTTCTTGGGTAAAAGAAATGTTCTCAAGCTTGCCATTCTTCTAAATTCCTTCCTTTCTCTAACCAAAATTTGAAAATTATAGCCGTTATCACCTTCCAAAATTAAAACTCTACAATCTTATGCAAATCTCATATAAAATCATTCATAGATTTAAAATCAACTCAAACAAAATCATTCATACACTATATACATTTGATTTTAGAGAATTTGGGAGAGAAGATCTTTGATAGATTCTAGCAAATCCGGAGATGTCTAATTCAACAAGGTGTGCAGCTTGCAAATATTTAAGAAGAAGATGCTCTCAAGATTGTGTTTTGGCACCATATTTCCAAGCAAATAATCCAGAAAGATTTTCTTGTGTCCATAAGATCTATGGGGCTAGCAATGTTACTAAGTTATTAGAGGTAAGAGAAATTGTGTTATATATTAGTATTATGCACTTAATTTATTCATCTTTACAAAGTTTCTAGATATCTTTTCTTTAATTTTCTACATATTTATAGATGTTTTTTTTTAGATATATAATCACCTTGAGTTGGATTGAAGAAAGTTAGATATTTGATTGTGTGTGTAGTGAGATAGAGAGTAACAAATGCACTCTAATTGGACACCTTAAGGTTATAATTATATTGTTTGACATGATAAGATAGTAAAAGAATTGAGTTTATTATTGTCAATTGTTTTTCATTTTTTTTCTTTTTCTTTTTCTGAGATGACACACTTCTTTTATTATAAAAAAAAAATAAAAATAAAAATGTGAAGCTTATTAGTGTTTTTAAAGCTAATCAGAATTAGAAAGCCTTCATTACATTATTCTAACAATTCTACAACGTTTCAAAAGATGGATTTGTATGTATATGTTTGACTCATGAATTTGTGGAAAGAAACGAAAATAAAGAGGGAAAAGATTAGAAAAAATGAAGTGAAAAAAAGAAACTATTCTCTCTCTTTCTCTCTCTCTCGTTTTTTTTTTTGTTTTTATTTTAGTACGACTAAGAAAATGAGAAGAAAATTAATAAATATTTGTTAAAAAAAATTTGGTTACGTTACTCAAAATAAAAAAAATAAAAAAATGAATGTGTACAACAAATTTCATTTCATTTATTATCTCTTTAGAAAGTAAGTGTCCAAACATAATAAGTATGCATGGTTTAGATTACAAGTATAATTATTCATTGAACTAATAATATTGTTTTGATTGGGGGGTGGTGGTACAGCAACTTCCAGTCGATTTAAGGGCGAATGCAGCAGATAGCATAGTTTTTGAAGCAAGTTCGAGAATTCAAGACCCAGTTTATGGATGCACTCAAATAATTTTTCAATTGCGACAACAAATAATCCAGACCCAGTATGAAATAGCCCAAATACAAGCCCAGATAGCCTTTAACAATGCACAACAACAAATGCATCACCAACAACATTATCATCATGGAAACCAATATCAAAACCAACATCATAGTGGTGGTGGCGGTGGCAGCGAACTCTCCTCTCAAACTTGGATGAATGCAAGTGAACAAGCAGAAGAACAACACTCTCACTTGGGCTTCACCTCTGATTTTAATTTTACAAGCTAAATGCCATTTACTCTCCAAGTGCTTTTGTTGTGATTTTCTAAGTTTAGTTAATGGATTTTTATTTTTTGGGTTCTTAAGGCATATATTTGATTTTTTATTAACTTCTGGTCATTGCAATCAGATACATAGCGTATCATTAGCCTTCAAATAAATTGTTTAATTGTTTGGGTAAAGTAAAGTTTGTGGTGAGTTTAATTTGTAGGGATTAATTTAAAATTTTCTTTATAAAGCCTTTTCTTTTATTGCCAAAAAAAGTCAACCTTTGTTAGTGTTTTTAGAAAGATAAAGGTTTTGTTTAGTTTGAATTTAAAAAATTATTTCTTGAAACTTTTAAAAAAAATAAAAATTAAATTGATAAAATAAACACTAAAAATATATATGTATTTTTTAATTTTTAAAATGTCTATATTCTTTCTAAGACATGTTGTGCCATTATGTAATATTCTGCATATTACTTATAAGCTATTGGAGATGCCTTTGGAAAAATGGATTTCTCTTTGAATTGTTTATGCCATTATAGAGCTATTTCTTGCTCAAGATACAATGGCATCTGATATATCATCAGTACTACAAAGGATTTTATTTTTTCTAGTAATTTGTAGAGATTAAGTGATGAAATTGGGCTTTGGTTAGGGTTCTTATTTCAATTACATTATCGATTGATGATAACGCATGTTTATTAAAAATGGTATTGAAATCTTTTGTGATGATTTTGTTATTTTGACATAATAATAATAATAATAATAATAATAATAATTTGATGTGTTGCTCAAAAAGTTAGAAATTGAGAGTGTAATAAAGTAAAATTATGGTGTAAATAGAATCAACAGCTTCTATTTTCACACATAAATAGTTGACACTAGTAGATTTTTTAAAAAAGATAATTACAATTTTACATCTTAATCAAATTGAATTTCAAATAAAATCCTAAATTATAATTTCTCATTACACACCTTCATACAACACTAGTCATTACTACCACCAACCATCGCCACCATTGTAAACTATTATTGCCATGAACCTCCCACCAACATGAACCCTCACCATTGCAAACCTCTTCATTTGCAACCATCTTCCCTTCCTCCAAAAAGTATTGTGAAACCCCTCACTCGAACCCTTTTTCGTTATGAACCCAGTATTGTCCTAAACATCCTTCTAGAAAATCCCCACCATCACAAATCCACCTTGCCGATTATACACTTTGTGTCATGTGATCTAGAAGGTAAGACTGGGTGGTTGTGAAACGTAGGGAGGGGTTGGGGTATTTTTTATATAAATATTGTGTATTGAGCAAACAAATAAAAACACGTCAATTTATAAATGTGTTCACTGAGAGAATATATGTACTGATTCTTTTTCTTAGTTCACATCATAACGACATATTAATTGTTCAAATTTCAACTCTCAAACAAAAACGAATTGCTCGGATAACAAGTACAAAATCTATTTTCATTCAATAATTAATATCTACACAATGAATTTTTATTCAATAACTAAAAAAAATAGGTAAATTACATTAACCTCTTACAAGGGTTGTAGAAAATACAGCAACATTCACAATTTTAGTAAAATTATGTGATCTCTAAAAAAAATAAAAAAATGAATGTGTACAACAAATTTCATTTCATTTATTATCTCTTT